TTCCTGTTGAACTCCCTGAAAGTGTCGATTGGCGATCGGCCGGTGCTGTCACTCCTATTAAGGATCAAGGACGATGTGGATCTTGCTGGGCGTTTTCCAGCACAGGTGCACTTGAGGGCCAACATTTTCGTAAAACAGGGATTTTAGCTGGTCTCTCTGAGCAGCAGCTAGTTGATTGTAGTTCTGCCTATGGGAACATGGGTTGCCAGGGTGGCTTAATGGATAAAGCATTCCAATATGTCAAAGATAACAATGGAATTGATGATGAAAAAAGTTATCCTTATGAATCAGGAAAAACTGGAGAAGCCAGCGATGTATGTAAATTTGAAGAACAATTTGTTGCCGCAAAGGTCACTGGCTTTGTCGATCTGCCATCTAAAGATGAGCGTAAATTAAAGGAAGCTGTTGCTAATGTTGGGCCAATATCGATTGCAATTAACTCTGGTTTGCTTTCTTTCCCACACTACAAGCATGGTAAGCCTGCAACTAAGCTTATTCTGATGCCACTTTAATTTCCCTCTATTATAATCTCGTTCATGTTCGTTATTAGGTATATATGATGATCCAGACTGCCAAGGGGACCCAACAGATTTGGACCATGGGGTTTTGCTTGTTGGGTACGGAAGTGAAAATGGCACTGATTATTGGCTGATCAAAAATAGCTGGGGAACTTCCTGGGGAGAGGATGGCTTCGTACGCATTCGGAGGGATCACAGGAATCTTTGCGGTGTTACCACAGCTCCTTCTTATCCATTGGTTTAGGTTTATCTTTTAAATGAACAACCTTGCCATTATTTTTGCCTTTTGTAATATAATCTCGTGTCGTGGTTTACTATCTATACTCATTTTGAATCATCTTCAATTACGGTTAGCGTATACTCGTTTGTGCTTATTTTCATACGGCATTGGCATTTTTACTCTAAAGAAAAATTGGACTGCTATTAAACTGTTATTTTATTGCCGAATATTTTCATTGTTTTGTTGATTATTTACTCACCAATACTAGTATATTTTTATTCAAGCAAACCAGCTTTTATGCATTGTTAGACTCTTTTTAAAGAGAGGCCCCATTAATTGATTAAATTGTTTTTTATGTGTTTATTTCACACTTTATTCAACATGTATGTCCCTGGAATCTGTATCTGTAATAATACTTTTGTTCTTTCCTTGATGTTATAGTCTCAATCGTGTGTGGTATAGACCAAGTACTTTCTAGTTTATTTGAGCCGCCATGTCACTAGCCTAAACTGGCTTCTTTTAGTGTTTATTCGCCCTTGTTTTCGCAACTTAATCGGAGCATCAGGGAGACCTTGTTGAGCGTATCTAGTCCCGTTTCTGCCATAGTATTCGTGATTTCCAGCACTGGACCATTGGCTGGGTATATTGCTTATTCTATTATTTCTAGTAAACTTGTAATAACGTGTTCAAAGGGATCTAACCCAGCATGGGTAAATGTTCAGATGTGAATACCACACATTTTCTTTTCTTCAAAATTACTGTGTATCGGTAGTCAAAACTAATCATATCTTTATGATCACGGCCTTTCATTCACTTCGCATGGCCTCATTTTGTAATATAAATCTGGTCGTCGCTCGCGATCAAGCTCTACTTAGGTCGATAGTTTGCTTCTGGTCTCCATCAGTTTTGTCGCGTCCCCAAGCTATAGGAATTTGCCAAGTCCTTGAATTGTACTATGCCATAGACTAATCTCTTGCAGCGAGAGGGGTCGTAATAACGAACTGGTTTGGACGAGACGCATGTATGCAAAGTAAGAAAACTTTTACATTAATATT